AGGGAACTGGGAGTTAATGCCTTTACTTGTGCTGGTCCTTCACATTGAGAAGGGGTTCACAGGTTCAGAGTGTGCTCAGACCATGCAAGGGAGAAGTGTCAAACTCTTTTTTTCCCAATGAGCCATGTGAACCATCAAGCTTTGAGCCCACATGGGAACACAAAATTTTTACCTCTCTTGCTTTTTGCAGAGAACATGTGAAGTCTCAAAATGATTACTGTGCACCTGCGTGACTAGCATCCCTGCCACAAGGGTGCAGTCTCATCTTTTACCCTACTCTATCTGGGATAGGTTCTGAGTTGACACAACTCCTGCTAGGAGTAAGTGCCAAGATGGACGTAGAGCAGACAGGTAGTTAATGTACATTTTATACCTTTGAGACGCACGGTGAATACAAAGGGCCTTGGTGGAAAATAGATGAAGGACCCCTGATCACAGCAAGTGACATCTAACTCACCTTTTTACCAGCAAAGTACCACACAGCTTTTAAAGTACAAAAGCAAGGAAGTACCAACGACCACAGCTTTTTCTATACCCCTCCTCTGCTTTTACCTCTGCACAGCTCTTTGGTGGAAAAGACTACAAAGGTCTGGGCTGAATTGAAAGCCTTTAACTGGGAAGGAGCAAAAAACTTCAAAAGAAGAAGGAACACCCCGGGCCTCAGATAAAGAATATATCTTCTGTACGCATCTCGACAGCTCTCTTCACTTGCACACGGGTCTCAAAAAAGGATGTTGTGTGTGAAGCAAACGACCTTCCGATTTATTACAAAATCGCTCACTATGCTAATCTCTCGCCTTTCTGCGAGGCACTTGTACAGAAGAGAATGCGGCGGCGCGCCTGCAGAGAGGCTGCCCTTTGAGACAGGCGCTCTGGTGCCAGACGAGCGAGAGAGAGAGGCGAGAGCTCAGCGTCGCACGACAGGGCAGGCGGTGGTGACCCACAAGGATTTCATGCTCACGAAATCCCCCCGCTAAGTTTTAAGTCACTACTGCCACCTCCTCCTTGAGAGGCTCAGGCACCCTGGAATTTTGCAAGCTAAAGGTAGAGATCGTTCGAACCTTGTATTGTCTAGACTTCCAGCTCCTTACCTAATGCTTAGCTCACGGCGGCCTGTGCGTGGAAGG